CCCCCCCCTCCCCTGTATACGCCCTTGGTTAAATCAAATCAAACTTCAAAGAAAGCTTTAGGCACTATTATTATTAAGCAGCCTGGAGATTCAATTCCCGAATGTGTAATGAATGGTATTTCAGCCCGGAACTTATCTAAATTTTGACATTTGTTATAAATAATTCTAATTAATTTCTTTTAACTATAAACGTTATTAACACAGCAACACGACCAAGTTTAAGCAATGCCACCATTTTTAGATTTTCATTTTAGCCGTGGTTGATGTACCTTCTCCATGACAAGGCTGAGGGACCCTCAAGTATACCAAATAAGGTAAAATAAATTTTTTTAACTTTTAAGAATTTTTATTAGCTTTAGTATAGTTGGGATAGGCTTTTCAGGTTCTCCCGGTATTAACAAAGTAATTTAGACACAAACCTGAACATATATATTTATTATTCAAGGGAGTGTAGAGGGTAGATATAATTTCAAATGAGTTTCCATTTCTGAAGTTACATGATCGAATCTCGGTGCCCTTTAAACGCTTCCTGATCATTGTGGGTTTTCTGTTAAACTAACTTGCGTATTTATAATGAAGATGTCAACGGAGGAAATTGTCAGAAAGGAATTGAGTCTTTGCCACAAACTCAGATTTTCTAATTCCTATCTTTATATATATATCTATATATATCTTTGCAACCCAATGTCACTCATAAGCCTTAGATATTTCAAACTATAAATTCTGTTAGATTAAATAATCTAAGTTTGAAGCATCAAAGGTTTGCACCATTTAGTTGCTAAGATATAGGAATTGGAATATTTGAGTTTGTGACAAAAACTTTATTCCTTTACACGTTTTGAGATAGAAAAACGACATTGCTTCCTCATCGTAAACAAGATGCTAGGATTGTTGTGAATGGGACATGCCTCTTTTTTTAAATGATGGGTCACTTGATATAACGTCTACAGTCCCTATAATCTGTACTGATCTAATGTACTTGGTTTGGTGTACAGTCATTTTAATCTGTACTGATCTAAGGTACTTGGTGTACAGTCCCTTTAATCTATACTGATCTAATGTGCTTGGTGTACAGTCCCTTTAATCTATACTGCTCTAAGGTGCTTGGTGTACAGTCCCTGTAATCTATACTGCTCTAAGGTGCTTGGTGTACAGTCCCTTTAATCTATACTGCTCTAAGGTGCTTGGTGTACAAACCCTTTAATCTATACTGATCTAAGGTACTTGGTGTACAGTCCCTTTAATCTATACTGCTCTAAGGTGCTTGGTGTACAGTCCCTTTAATCTATACTGCTCTAAGGTGCTTGGTGTACAGTCCCTTTAATCTATACTGCTATAAGGTGCTTGGTGTGTTCCTAACAGCTGGCTATATGGTGGTTAAGGGGAAAGCATTGATGAAAGCGATTAAACTGTGTAAAGGAGCTTTTCATAAAGTTCTGCAATCCACAAGGTTTATTATTTATTAATTCATTTTTATATTCAGTCATTCTTACATTTGATATTCAGTCATTTATTCATTCTTACATTTAATATTTAGTCATTTATTCATCCTTACATTTAATATTAAGTCATTTATTCATCCTGACATTTAATATTTAGTCATTTACTCATTCTTACCTTTAATATTTAGTCATTTGTTCATCCTTACATTTAATATTTAGTCATTTACTCATTCTTACATTTGATATTCAGTCATTTATTCATTCTTACATTTAATATTTAGTCATTTATTCATCCTTACGTTTAATATTTAGTCATTTACTCATACTTACATTTGATATTCAGTCATTTATTCTTTCTTACATTTAATATTTAGTCATTTATTCATCCTTACATTCATTATTCTGTCATTTATTCATCCTTAAATTTAATATTTAGTCATATATTCCTCGTTACAATCAATATTCTGTCATTTATCCTTACATTTAATATTCAGTTATTTATTCATTTTACATTTTATATTCAGTCATTTATTCCTCCTTACATTTTATATTCAGTCATTTTTTCATCTTTACATTTAATATTAAGTCATTTATTCATCCTGACATTCAATATTTAGTCATTTATTCATCCTGACATTTAATATTTAGTCATTTATACATCCTGGCATTCAATATTCTGTCATTTAATCATCCTTACATTAAATATTTAGTCATTTATTCATCCTTACATTTATTATTCTGTCATTTATTCATCCTTCATTTAATATTTAGTCATTTATTCTTCATTACAATCAATATTCTGTCATTTATTTATCCTTTATTCAGTTATTTTTTCATCTTTACATTTGTTCAGTCATTTATTCCTATTTACATTTTATATTCAGTCATTTATTCATCTGGTCTGTTTTTGTTTGAAATTAAATTATTAATCATCTACTTATTTATAATTCCCCTCATTCTCCATCCTATTATATATATATTTATTAATGTGATATTTGTATGTATGTCACAACTTTGTGCGTCCTCAAAAAACTAAAAACTTTTAAATACAAATTTAAAAATTTTGATCGTTCATAAAACTTCCCCGGGGTCACGTGAGGTCCCACACAAAATTTGGGCCCGATCGGTTCAGCCGTTTTGACGTTTATTGGATACAAACAAACAGACAGACAGACAAGCTAAATTTATATATAGATGACATATTTATGTGTAGGTATGGAAAAACCCCAACCCAAGACCAGATGAAGGCCAGCGGAGGATTCTGTCCAATATGTCAGGTAAATATTGTTTATCTGTTCAGCTGAGGATTCTGTACAATATGTCAGGTAAATATGGTTTATCTGTTCAGTGGAGGATTCTGTCCAATATGTCAGGTAAATATGGTTTATCTGTTCAGTGGAGGATTCTGTACAATATGTCAGGTAAACATGGTTTATCTGTTCTGGGGAGGATTCTGTACAATATGTCAGGTAATTATGGTTTATCTGTTCAGCGAGGATTCTATCCAATATGTCAAGTAAACATGGTCTATCTGTTCGATATATTAACTATCTTTCTATTCATCTATTTCTATACATCTAACTTTCTTTCTTTCGATCTATCTATCTTTATTTCTATCTATTGTCTTTTTTAATTTTCTTATATTAATATATTAATTTTTGATTTAAATACCCCTCCTCAAACAAGCCGTCTCCCCCCCCCTCCCCCCGATTTACGCAAATGTTCGTTAATTAGTTCGACCCCCACCATCACTTTATACACATACATCTGAACAGTTTGTTTTTAACCTTAGTGACAGAAACAATCTCAAGGAATAATAATTGTCCTAAGACATTTTTTTTAAAGTGAATATTTGCATATTACCTTTTTTCCATCTCATAATCTGAGTTTGTTTCCCTTATGTCCATTTGACAGCCCAAATTTTTATTTTGAATAATCTTTTTTGTTTCTTTTTTTTTCTTGTGATTTTTTAACAAAAAAAAATTTAATTTTTTTCACCAATTTTGATGGTTATTATATCGTTGGAACTGACGAGGGTCAACCCAGACCAAAATATATTTTCAATAAATGTGGAACTAACATCTACTTTTCTATCTCTCAAAGTCTTTATTCATCTATCATTCTGTCGTTCGATCTATCTACCTTTAATGCTGCTATCTGTTTGTCTTTTTTAATTTTCTTATATTATTTATATATAATATATTATTTTTATATATATATAAATAAAAAATTATAAAAACGTGAAGTTAAAAACTGATATATATATATATATATACGCAACAATCTTCTTAAAACATTTTATTCATAAACAAATTGTTTCATGCTTTTATGCAATCATCAGTGTATATAAATATCTGTCAACCTATCTAACTATTATACTATCTATCTATCTAGGATAACTATCAAGTCCCAACTATGCTACACTGTAAGCATATATTCTGTGAGGAATGTGTAACTACCTGGTTTGACCGGGATACTACCTGCCCAATGTGCAGAGCTAAGGTCAGATTTTTCAATCAATTAAAGCCGATTTTTATTGTAAAATACAGTGCATACATCGCAATTATACTGTACTAGTCTCAAAATACACATTTTTAGTGTCAACTAATGCGCACAACAAAGTTTTCGTTAAAAAGTAAACTTTTAGAAAAATATATTGGTGTAAGATAAGCATAAGCTCAGAAGCTGGATCCGGATCTGCTTGTTACAGGACGGATTGAAAGTAAAGAGACTATTAGCTTATTTAAAAGTGACCCTTAATGCAAAGATGGCAATGCCCGAATCTAAAAGTTTTTATATCTGTAAATTTCTCCATTGATATGAGCAAGAAATGTGCAGAGAAACCAAAATGAAAAAAGTTAAAAAGATAAACATTCATATATTATCTAATTCATTCCTGAGACAAATAAATATTTAAATAAAAGGTGAACCATCATTCCGTGGAAATCAAGGCTGAGTCTTCTTCAAAGCTTCTAAGGATACTGTTTCAAATCGGGCATTGTCATTTTTGCATGGAGGGTCACTTGAAATTACGCTTACAGTCCCTTTAATAAAACTAAATATATATATAGTAAATACCTCTGTTCATCAGGTATCTGAGGACCCCGCCTGGAGAGATGGTTCTACATCCCAGTTTATTCAACTCTTCTAGCTCAGAGATCAGAGATTTTTAGATTATCAACGAGATATACTAGATAAACTAGGGTTTCTAGATATTCTAGGTAAACTAGGGTTTCTAGATATTCTAGATAAACTAGGGTTTTCAGAAAATCTAGGTAAACTAGGGTTTCTAGATATTCTAGATCAACTAGGGTTTCTAGATATTCTAGATAAACTAGGGTTTCTAGATATTCTAGATAAACTAGGGTTTCTAGATATTCTAGATAAACACGGGTTTCTAGATAAACTAGGTTTTCTAGATATTCTAGATAAACTAGAGTTTCTAGATAAAATATGGTTTCTTTCTACAAGATAAATTTTCTAGATAACTTGGATTTCTAGATATTTTAGATGATAAACTAGAATTTCTAGATGTCCAGACGTTGAACAGCAAATGTTTTCCAGATTAAAAATAGTTAAAAATAATGTTTCTAATTCTGAAGTGAAAAAAGTGTTTTTATTCTATTAAAATGTTTTGTATTTATTTTAGTTAAAACTGCATTTTTTTAATTTGCATTTTCCAATATATATTCTTGTATAAAAAATTTATTACAATAAAATAAATGTACAGATTTAGTTTGAAATATAATCATAATATAAGACAATCTATTTATATCTTTGTTTTATTGATTTTTAATGCTAATAGAAAAAGCAAGACACAGAAATTGTTAATTTGAAGCATTTCATTTCAAGTTCAAAATTATTTGTCTCGTACTTCTGCTTCATAGATAAAGATAGATTGCGCATAAGACGACATTTTCATTTTGAAAGATATAAATGTACAGAGATGTTTTAAAGATATTCCTATTATATAGATTAACTAGGTCGGTTGTGAACATTGGCTGTTCTTATGTCATTGAGTACTTGTAGTGTACATGAGTTCTGAAGAGAGAAATTTAGGCTAGTTTAGTCCTTCTCATGTCCTTTTTCAGTTCTCGTCAATATGATATATTGCTCAGTGAAATAGTTTGATATTCTCAAAATAAAATTCAACCCTGAGTGGTTAATAATTATGAAATCCATTAAAACACCAAACCACCCCGCTTATCATTGAAGTACATTTTGACCCCTAGAAGTATGAGTTCGCGGACTGTACAATTCTTGGTGATTTTGCGTACATAAGCTATCTATGTTTATTTATTTATCGGGATCTCTCATCAGATGTTTTTGTGCTTCTGATTGGTCAGCGTGTTTCAATTTGAATTCAAGTTATTTTGTTTGTCGCAAGTATTTGTCACTATATCTGCAGACTATCCTAGAAATAAATAGGAAGGTGATTTTAAAAAAATTCTATTCTAAATTAAGTTATTTTCTTGAATTAAATAACGAGAATTAAATTTATTTTGTTTAAATTACAAGTTTAAGTTACAATTATGGTTTCTGAAAAAATTTTCAAAAAATGCTTTAAGAGCACATCTGAACTAAAAAGTTTAGAACTCTGTGCGGATATCGAGATCAATGCTTTTTGTAAATCATAAGATTATTTTAATCCTGTATCCAGGAAATTTTTCGAAATTTAACCATCCAAGTCTAAAGTTTTCAGCCTTGAGTACATGGTAAATTTAAGTTTAGAAAGTAGAAAAGAATTACAGTTTTAAATCTGCCAGTTTGATAAATATGCAGTTAAAATGACTGACGTTGTATGGGTGTTAAAATCAAATAAACAATTGAAACAGTTTCTAAAACTTTTTTCAAATCTTAGGAATTCACCTTTTTTGAAGCATGCTAATCCGCAAAATTGTTCTTAGTTATAATTTTTACATCCAAATGGACGGTAATAAAGGCTTGCACTTGAAAAAGAATTGTGGGCATTGCATTGCTTTAAACATTGAAAGTTTTTAGGCTTCAGGCTCTATTAGAATCCTTATCTAAAATTGCACGTTTCTACTTCAACCAAATATATTGACCGAAACAATAAAAGCAAACGTACTTAAGACATTTCTGTGGAGCACTTTTAACATTGAAAACCCCTAATTAAAAACGATGCCTTAAAGTACAAATAAGGTTAGATTTTTTATAAAGGACTAAAATAATACCTTTTTTTCTTATCTCCTATGGCGCTTCTTTTTTAGAAATTCTGGAAATTTTCATAAAATTTTTATATAATTTCGCAATGAATTAATACTGATTATTTAAAAATACATTTTCTGCTTTAGTTTGTATATTTCAGTTTGCCACATATATACAGGGTGTCCCAATAAACATGGGAATTCAGTGACGAATTCGATACCGTCTTTGTTATGAATTAGCATTGTAATACCTGTTTTCAAAAGCCATTATATTATTATGTCTGCTAGAGTTTATTTTATGAAAACGGTAAATGACTGTAAAGATGTGTCTATAATATCTCCACAAGATGAACAGTGAAGACGGACAATTGTTTACTCTGTTTGTATACTGTATGTATGCAGTCAAAACATAAAAAAACTAATTGTAAACAAAGCAGACAAAAATCTTACGGATTACAGCTTTCTCAGTAGGTATTACTATACTAAATCAACGAATTGTTTATAAAGACGATATCGAATTCGTCACTGAATTCCCATGTTTATTGGGACACCCTGTAGAAAGAAAACATTAAATTGATAAGATTAATTTTAGTTTAATTGGCTTAACCTTACTACAGGATCATATCGTTTTCTTAATTATGCAAGGGCCGCGTGCGTATATATAGAAATAAATCTTAGGGTGAGACGAAATATTTTGTTGCCCCCCCCCCCTATAAGCTTCTAGGGGGAGGGGGGATTTTAACTGTAAATTCAAAACATTTGGCTTCTTGGATATCAGGCATTTTTAGCATAAGATACTTTAAAGGTTCACATACAGTGCAATTACCTTGCGAGTACTACTTTATCTCTCCTTCAAACAAAACTAGCAGAAAAGAACACCTAACTAATTTTTTTATGTTCTTTACTCTTCAGTTTCAGATTTTAAAGTGTCATAGCTTTGAGTTTTAGGGGGGGTGGGGCTTCGCCCTCCCCCCTTTAAAGGTCTAGGGAGATGCACTGCCCCCCCCCCCTGTAAACGCCCTTGGTTTCATAGGGGCGGAAAGGCTGGGTCCTACTTTATTTTTCAAACATTGCCAATCAACACAAAGTTTCTCTGCTTCACAACTAATATCATTTTTTGACCTTTCGGTCTTGGTATAAAAAGTTCATTATATTGGGATCAGTTAGGTATAACTTACTTGCGAACATAGGTTCGGCAGCAAGCTTCAGTAAGAGAACTGAATTACCTATTCATCTTGTCCCGTTGAACATTAGAAGGATCTGTAATGTAAATTTGATACTGAAGTTATTTATTACTTTCTATTTGTAGAGAGAACCTGAAGTATTTGTAAAAATATCATTTTATTTATAAAGAATTCAAAAATTTCAAACTGAAATATTCTATATAGAATTTTCTAATTTTATTCAGACAAAGAAAATTTATCTTAAGCTTATTTTAAAATTTGCTTCGGACTACAGAGAACCCTAGCGGTGAAACTTTGAACTGCAGTTTCAGGCTAGTGTGTCTAAAGGATACGGATTATAGACTTGAGGGACCACAAAACATTTGAAGGGGGAAGGCGAATATTTCTGGTTTGTAACCATTATTACCTCAAGTGCCAACAGAAAAAACTTAACTATTAATAATTTTTTTTGTACCCGGGCTATTTATGTCAAAATACGTTATTATTATAGTATTAAATTTTATGGTAAAGGGATGTCTCTAAAATTGCATAAGGTCCATTGCTTCCTTGCTCTTTATCATCAATGCTTTCTGCAATCTAAATTCACAAGAATCCACGTATTTCATATTTCTAGATATTCAAGCTGAAACGAAAATTTAAAATATGAAAATATTCCTTGATTTCAGAAAATCTTCCAGAATTTGAAGACCTGCCTCAAACCAAAAAGATAAACCTAAAAAGTATGTTTCTAAGATTAAAAGTTAAAGGGATTGCAAGCGTAAATTTTAAGCATTACTCTCCGTGCAAAGATGACAAAGTCCGATTAAGCATGAACTAGTTACCCAGTAAACAATTTTGGGGAAATTCAAGAGAAATTCTAGAGAATTTTTTCACTTTCTCGAGAAATTCTCGGAACTTTTGAACGACCTATTCACGGAAATCGGTGGACACTTTTTGGAACCAACTCCCCCAGGTGGTTCCATACTTTGTCAATTCCTCCATTTACTCTCCTGAATTTCCCCAAATGTCTCCCCAATTGGAGAATAAACTCCAGTGTTTCCCCAAATTTACTAGGCATAAAATGTACGATAATTTAAACCCCAAAATTCCACTGCCTTTTCTCGTTATTTTTTCTTCTGTTTTTTTCGACCGTTTTTTTCTCCTATCTTTCTTAATATTTTCTCTAGATTCACTCGGAGAAAATATTTGGAGAATTTTACTCAAACTTCTTATAAAGTTTTCTTCGAACATTTTTCTTCGTTCTTTTTTACTCCAACTTATCTCCTGAATTTCCCCAAATGTCTCCCCAATTGGAGAATAAACTCCAGTGTTTCCCCAAATTTACTAGGCATAAAATGTACGAGAATTTAACCCCAAAAATTCCACTTTTTCCTCTTATCTCCCTTGTCTTATTTTCTCTAGTTTTGCTCTACTGTCTCTCTTCCCTGAGTTCGCGATTTAGAAACTTCGGCTCGAGCCGTAATTCCTTAAACCCGACTATAAGACACAATCTTCGACCTAACTCTGACGACTGCTTGTGTCACGTGATTGACAGCTGCAAGATCTTCGGCTTGACTTAAGGAGTTAGGCTCAATGTTAAATTTTGTTCTCATAAAAACCCGGAATGCACCAATTCCTACCATGATAATCCGCCAAATAGAATATTAAACCGGTTTTTTTAAACTCAACTCTTTGGAAAATAAGATGCAGCTTGAATCCGAAAGTTCAAGCCGTAAATAAGGCCCAATGACAGCTTAGACCCAAGCCGTATTTTCCAGAATTTTTTAAATCGCGGACTCTGATTTGTCGCTCTTTAGCCACTGTGATCCAGCCAGGCTGCATTTGTTGCATACATTTTGTTGTCTCTTCTTTCCCC